GTTTTCAGAAAAGCGTGATTGCGGTGTATGTATCCTCGAGTGCCACAGCGAATGAAAAGTTTCATTGTTTTTGTATAATGATATCATGAATCTCTTAAAAAGCTTCACACAATCGCGTCTAAGACACTAAGAGGACAAAAAGTTCCAACGATACTGTAACGCAGGTCGCTTAGGACATCTTTCCAATCTTTGTGGTTTCGCAAAGTACCTATATGAATACCGAACCCTCAAGCGAATGGAATGGCAGATGACAACCAGAACAAAGTGCGGGAGGATTTGATATTTATCTTTATTGTCAATGTTCATAAATGTTATTTTAGGATTGGTCCAGCGTAGGGATTGCAATGTAATACCTGGCGATCTCAATTCAATTACAGGTGATGCTAACTGCCAGTGTGAGTTGGTTTGCCGGATATTTGACATTTGATATCATGTGTTGCCGCGCCTGGAGGATATGCCGAGGCTTTTGTCTTTTGTATCTCCAGAGACAAGTTCATAGCTCTAGGAGTAGGGTTTTAAATAAATCTGCGGCTGCGTGCCCTCTGGGACTCTTACCTTCACGCAAAAAGACGACAGTAAGGAGCCCCACTATTAATCCTTTTATGATGCATCGATGGATCTTCATTGCTAGTAAATATAATATATATTTCCGTTGTATCAAGCTGAGTCCTGAGGAGACAATTCTGCAATTGAGCATACGTCGACCCACTTACAAACATCCCCACCACGAAAATGCCCTGACAATAATCGTCTTCAAGTTGAATCGAATGCACATTACCCATGTTCGAATTTATCTATTATACATCTATTATGTAATTACATTTAGAAAACCTTCTCTCAGAATTATATTCATACAATCTATTCACTCAATTCACTCCTTAACGTAATCCCCGCCCACAGATCCACCGGCTTATGCATAAACCCTTCTACGCTCTTTAGCTCGTCGTCTTGCAGTGCTAGGTCATATCGTCCGACGAAGGTGGCGATGAGGATCTGCATTTGGAGCATTGCGAGACTGCAATAAATAATAATAAATGAATTCGTCAGTATAATGAAGGAAGAAGGGAAGAGGGAATGGAACGCACTTCTTCCCGATACACGCCCTCGGACCCATCCCGAACGTCATGAGATTGCGCCTCATCTCCGTCAGCTTCCCGCCTTTTCCTTCTGCCTCGATCCATCGCTCAGGTCTGAACGTTTCAGCGTCGGAGCCCCAGATTCTGGGGTCGCGTTGCATTGTGTATGCGGGGACGGAGAGTTCGGTCTGAAATAAATAAGGTTAATTGGAATGTTAAGAAGGGGAGGGATGGGGACGTACACCGGGAAGGAATGTTTTGCCGTCGATGGATACGTCCATTCCGTCTGGGACGACACGGGGGAGTCCGAATGCGTTCGTTGCGAACATGCGGAGGCCTTCGTCGATTGTTGCGTTTAGATATTTTAGGTTCTTCACCTATATCAACAAATGAATAAGTCGTTCGACGTTCAAGGGTTAAAAACACACCTGCTCATGTAATGGAATCCCTAATCCCTCTTCTTGCTCTATTTCCTCTGATTCAACGATGATCTCGGAAGGTGGGAGGCCGATATCTTGACTATTTTGCAGGGCTTCGTCTATTTCCTTTCGCAGCCTTTGTAAGACGGAGGGCGTTTTATATATCCAGTAGAGGATCGCGGCGGTGCTGTTTGCTGTAGTATCTGAGCCGGCGGTCCTATAATGTCAAATGAATTAAGATGATGACTAGGGATGGGAAATGGGGACGTACAAGAGCAGCATCGCATCGGTGACGACGTCTGCTTCGTTCACTTCGCCTTCGTCGCCTCCACCGGCTTGTTTTGCACGCATGTCGTCTACGAGACGGTCGAGGAGGTCGCCACGACGGCCGGCGGCGCCGGATTCGAGGCGGTCTTTGACGCAACGTTGGGCGATTTGGGAGAGGGTCTATCGAAAGCAAAGGAAGTTAGGAAGAAAGACGAAGTAAATAGAATGGCAAACGCACGTCAGTTCCTTGTAATCCTCTCTGCACGAACCCATCTGGGATCCACCTCGTCAGAGGCGCCCAAATCGAGCCGGGGAGGAGATACGGGAATAGGCCTAGGAAGGCTGCGGTGCGTCCTCGATAATCTATCATAGCCGCTACGCCCTTTTCCTTCTCGTCTGCTCCATTCGACATATGATCGCTGTCGCCAATGAGGACGTCCGTCTCGCGCTCCAACATCCCCAGCGGCTCGCCGAACGCCAGGTCGGAGATGACGTCGAACGTCAGATAGTTCAGCCACATCAGCACGTCGACCACTCCACCAGAACTACCGGATGTCACGCTCCCAGCAGCGCGTCCAGGAATGTCCGCACCGACGCCCAAGCCAGCTCGATTATCTAGCTTGCGCACCATCTTGCCGACGCTCTTCCTGATCCATCCTTCGAATTGCTTTACGGATGCGTAGGCGAATGGGTGGGCGAGGACGCGTCGTTTGGAGGCGTGGCCAGAGCGATCTTGTGTGCTGAAGAGGGAGGGTGTGCCGTCAACGTAGAAGGCGCGGTAGAAGGGTGTCTTTGCGAGGGAGGCGGAGCCCTGGGCGTAGACGGTGTTGGGTGCGGATTGGGAAGCGCAGGAGACTTGGGTGGGTGTTATGCGGACGAAGGGTCCGTATTTCTGGTGGAATGTAAGTAAGAGTGATATAATGGATGGGTTGGAACGCACCTTATGCAGGTTGTCAACGTAAAGATACCTCTTGCCAGTCCTCGTGTAGTATCCTAGCAACAACGACGTGTACTTGGCTAACCACGGCCCAGGAACATCCTTCAACGGGTCAGGCTGTGCAATGTGATGCACGACAACGACAAAGACGAACGCAGCTAGGATGAGCCACGGATGCTCTGGTTTTGCGGAGGCAGCGAAGCTAGCAGCGCCGGTAACGACAGGGCTGGATGTTGAGGTATTCATGATATAACCAGATAATATTGGTTGTAGGGCGGTTTATATACGCGTTTGCAGGCATATTTGAGTCCAAAATCTGAGTCGCAAAGCTTGGAGGCGGAACGGATCTAAGTTGGGCGGCAGGATCTTGAGGCGTGCGATTCTTGAGCGGCCTTGTGGCGTGCCGGCCGTGAATACGGCATCTGCGCTATCTACGTCACTAAGGCCTCCTCGAAATTCGACCCGCTGTACTGTTTCTTCGGTCTTCGCCAAATGATATCTAGGAGCAATGTCAAATGATGTGGGTGGCCGGGTAGGATCGCGAGGAAGGAAGGGCACGTCTATATGTTTGCAATGCGTTTTTGGTGTAATACCGGCGATAACAGGGCCCATAACGAAGGATGTGTCTATTCTGAGGATATTGATGAGGTCCGTGTTGATACACCTGATCCATGGATCCTCTCTTGGGGCTAACCTTCCGTCATTGTCCACCGAGTCGCTGTACGAATTCAGCACGCTTCCAGTCTAACCCACAAGTAGCGACACTCACCCAGCACTTCTCTTAATACTCGGATGAACGCATCTCTCTTTCATTCGCTCGAATCCCACCATGACCGCACAGAGACGCCTCCTTCCATGTGGGAACCCCTCAGCCACGAATAACATCCCCGCATCTCTCGAACCGTCTAGAACAGAACCCCCCCAAGATCCGCGCTTTCTCACCACGTTTTACCTTCCTCCCCGGCCCCGTGGGTCTGTCTGTCTGGCTTCGTCAAGCTCAAACGATGCGGCCGTGTTACACGTTGCGGCGACGGACATATCAAGATCCGTCATTGGTCTGCGTTATCTAGAGGATGGACCGCGCATATGGGGCCTTCAAAATACGTCCAGCATTCTCGTTAACGGTCGGTCGGGAACAATAGGCGACGTACCTGAGTGCTGGATGTGTGCTCCTAGTCAGCTGTCACTGCACTTCCGCAGTTCTTGTCCGAGTGGGGGCATGATAGTTCCTTTGGAGGTGTTGGGTCGATGTAGGAGACGTACCTGTGAATGAATGAAGGAATTCATTTGACCCTCTCCCAATACACCGAGATGAGTTCCCTTCCTCCCGACCGAGTCCACGTCCACGTTCACGTCCACGTAAACATTCATTCATCCATCCTCCGAGCCGAGCCCGTCGTGCTCTTCGTCTTCGTCTGGTTGCAAGTTCTGGATTCCCACGCATACACTCCAGACACCTGACGTAAAGGTATAGGCGGAAACAGGAAAGGTAAGCGCAATATCAATTCCACCCGCGACCCCCTCTACGACGTACTTATATATCCCCCTCTGGCTTAAGCGATAGCAAACCCGACGGTCGGCCGTTCGATGGGCATAGCGGGCAGAAATACATACCAGGATCGACGGCACGAGGGCATCACCTTCTTCAATTTTGCTGTGACGGGCGCGGCACGCTATTTCTGGGAGGGGATTATGGACTGTGAAGGATGACGTGCGTTATTTTCGTTGTTCTTTGGTCTGCTGTTTATTCAGTTGGTTAGTTAGGTTACGAACTTGGGCACATGAGGTGTCATGGGGTATTTGATTCCATATTCTACACAATTCGTTCATATCTTGAATAATGGTTCTTCACGCCTGGCGCGTCATTCTATTTCTGTTCGTTTATTCTCCTCCTCTTGGCCACCTCTAATGGTAACGGGTCTTCCACAGATGTGAACAACGATGGGTGGAACTGCTGGGAATGGGAATAATGAGACGAGTAGTTTCTCGATCTTCGCACATGACAGCTCACGAGAATATTATTCCGTGGTGTTCAAGTGATCGGGCTATCGTGCTCATGTGAACCAAATTATTGAATGTTCAAGGGGATAATGTACAGGAAAAATAAACCATAACTTTTATTCTATTTCGTATTCACGCATTACTCCCTAATACCTTTAATCATCCTCCACCCATAAACCCCAGCCTATGATTTAAGATCTCATACTCGCAAGCATTACCCCGCAAAGAGAAAGAATAATTACGCAGAATCAAGAGCTGCTATTGGCTGCGTGAAACAGATATAACGTCACGTTGAAAAAAGGGCCTCACTGGGAATTGAACCCAGGACCTCTTCCAATCTTACAGAGTAATCTGTTGCCCAAAGGAAGAATCATGCTACTAGACCATAAGGCCGATGGGAGATAGCTGATATTTGTTCTACGTCACGGTGTCTGGGATTTCGTTGGTGTGAAGCGGGACGGTTTTGAGTAGGTTTGAAACAAGAGTGTTGCCATTGGATATGTAGGGTCACTCATTCGCTATTTCTCAATTAACCTTTTTTGTTTACCGAGCGACTGTCCTGTACAAAGATGTTCTGACTGCGTGACAAGAATGAATGGATGGCCGGAGGATGTTCGCCCGGTATCTCGAGAGGGTAATTGCGCGTATTGGAGAAGGCACTGATACATTTCGGTTTGCGACGAAGCATATTTCGCATGTTTTCTCATTATGTGTTTGCTCCACGGTGTTATTTCGTATTCAAGGGGAAGTAATAAATGAGTTTCAATGGGAAACAAGGCGGAACGGTATACTATCCTTTCGTCGATAAAATGAAATCTAAAATTGAATGCCACTTCTTTCGAAAGAGAGCGCCACCGTTCAACGACACAAGAAACAAAAAGGGCCCAACTGGGACTTGAACCCAGGACCTCTTCCAATTGTGCAGAGCGACCCGTCACCCAAAGGAAGAATCATGCTACTAGACCATTAGGCCGATGTGAGGTAGCCTTTGTTGTCTATACCTGTGCGGTCGGATTTCTTTTCGACGTCTTGGATTATGGGGCGTATGTCTTACAATACTTGCTACTCGTTTCGTTTTCTCTCGATCATAAGAAACAATTTTTACCAGGGATTCCCATATTTCTAAACAAATATAATTCCTGCTGAGAAGTAGCCGGTGTCAAGGTCGGATATAGTAGCCAATGACATTCTATTTTGATATCTAGTGCCAGGGGTCTATCTTAATCTTGATACCCGGTTCGACCTCAGGTAAACTCACACGCATCCCACGTAGTCTGCCACTTCTTTACCCTCTCCCGCTTCATACATTCGCTTCATGAAAGGGTAAGAACCACTGAGTAGTTCTAGGTCGTCTACTCACGTTGTGTCCACGCAGTTCTCATCATATCGATAATTTTCCTGCTGAAGTCCTTTCCTTGATTTTCGAACACGCAACCATACGTCAGAAAATTATGTTTGAACACCTCAAGCCGAGGTTTGACTGGCCATTCGTGCATTACTTCCACGCACCTTTGGAGGTCCTTGCGTTATCCCACGTCTCGTCCCGGTGGCGATTTATCGCAAGGAGTCACTCCTCAATGTGGAAGGAAATCCATCCCTATAATCCTCGTTTCACCGCTATGTGCTCCGATCTAGCCTCAACAGCTAGATTGGAGGTCTCTACCGCTGCAACTCTCTGCGGTTGCTGCTCCAGAGGGAGCCTGAGGAAATCCGAGATACTGGACGGAGTCTGTGACTTTATCCGTCAAAATGCTGATCGTATTTCGAAATTATTCCTATATATCAGTGTTGCCGCCATGAAACCACTGATGGATATATTTCTGACGACGCCGTTTCCGGAATTGACGGTATTTTTGTTCCCAATGGCTGGGCTGCTGATGCCTACAGGGATGGCTTCCGTGCCATTATTTGCGGGTCATGCACCAAAATTACAGCATGCCGGGTGGGGATACTCGCGTCTCCCCCCCATGTCGATTTTCAAGAACCTCACGTCTTTGTTTTTCGCTACTCCACATTCTCTGAATGTGGAGCCCAAATGGACGCAGTTGATGTCCATCCTGCCTCTCAATCCCAATCTCGAAACTATGGCCATGCAAATACCTAGATCTTCAGTAGCCTCAGGCTCTACCCAGATTAACATCCCCCTTTTGCGGCTACGGAAGATATCTTTGTGGGCTTTCGTTATTCAAGACTTGCAAGCGTTTTTTGAAGCGATAGAGGCCCCTCAAATAGAACAAATCAGCCTTGTCGTTCAAAATAAGCTCGTAAAGCGGGATGTACTTGCCGCTTTACATGCCCAACCTGGTTTGCTCTCCTTGATTGTCGATGCAGATTCCTGCAAGATTTGCAGTGGAGAACTAGAAGAAATTGATTTGTCTTTTTGGAATTCCGCTAATGGAAAGAAATTACATATATCTTTCCTCGGTGGTCCCCAACGTACATTGGAACTTATAATGCTGATGCGGGTGCCTACGTATCTCCAGATTATGCCAAGTCAATATTGGTCTATTTCAATCCCACAAATGCTTTCTGTTACGGTACTTTGCCTTGGCGATGGTGTCCAAGAGGGAAATTATACGAATCTTTCGAAATGGATAGACGAGAATTCCCTTCCCTCCTTGAAGACCATTATCCTACCGAAGCAATATGAGCCATGGTGGGACGTCCTTCTTCCCGTCCTGGAAGGATTCATACGCCTGTCTCCGAAGCCTGAGCTCGTGTATCAATATGATTGTGATCGGGAGTTACTGGAAGCATTTAGTAGTAGAACTGGGGTTTCCTTGCGACATATCAAAGAAAAATGACCTACGATGAAGGTTGGTTATCATTAATATCCTAATGTTGCATATGATAGATGCATACTTCCATCCTGTAACCATTGCTCTATATCTTTTCATCAAATCCCACGACATTTGTCTGAAGTCGTCCAAGGTTGTTAGGCTGAATAAAACATAAGCTTACGAATTTGACGTATTTGAAGACTTCTCCCCAGTGGATGATCCTGCGCAAAATAGGGGAGTATTATGGATCGCACAATTAGCGGGTGACAGCCTGGGCCGCGCTTGCGCGTACTAAGTAGTCAGATCGTGTTAAGTACGTATTGTTTATACGCCGTCCCAAATTCCTTTAGAAGTTCAGTCGCAGCGTAAAAGCGGTCCGTCGCATCAACTCATTTCCCGGCAGATACATACGCATCTCATGCATTCCTTAGCAAAATCCCAGCTTGGATTCATTAACCGATCAGTCAATGATATTGATCCCACTATGACCTGTATGGAACCTAAGCCTGACCATACAACCCTGGTGTTAAAGTACCCCACCTTCGCTGCGGCATTAAAGAACCCCAGAGCGACTGATATAAGCAGTTTGAGGACGGGTGAGAATATCACCGTGGATTGGGGATATTTTCAAAACAACGAGATTACCCTGGAAAAGTTGCTTTTAAAGATGGTCGCTTTAGCAGGATCACAACCGCTGGCGAGAATTAAATTATTAAAAAGGGGGGATTATTTGCTTTCTTCCTTCTACCAGAGTATCTCACGATATAACTTCCACAGACAATCCGTTCATCCTGATTTATTTAGGAGATAAATTGAGGGCTCGGTATTTATAGGTACTTTGCGAAACCACAAAGGCTGAAAAGATGTCCTGAGTGACCTGCGTTACAGTCTCCTTGAAAGTTTTTATCCTCCCAGGGTTTTAGACGCGACGGTGTGAAGCTTTTTAAGAGACTAATGATATCCTTATACAAAAAATAATGTAACTTTTCATTCGCCGTAGCACTGGAGGATACATACGCCGCAATCTAGCTTTTCTCCAAACTTTCTCGTAAGGGCAAAATTATCCACCGATTCACTTCTCGCATTCATAGCAGCTCCCCGAGGTCGATTATTGATTACGCTACGTCTGGGTTTACTACCGTCAGGTAGAGCATCCTGCTTCCAAAAAATCTCGTCCAATCTTTATTGTCCCGTTGTGCTTCAATAACTAACACCTTGTATTGAAAGATAAGATCATCTTTCCCAGTCAAATTGCCTTGAAGTCTTATTTGGTTCGATTGCTTCCGCGCGGAGTTTCGATGATTCAGGTTCAACCTTCGTCAGCTGCAGCGCTTCCCTTTGTCCAATATCAGTACGGTGTGCGACCGTATCATCTCTTCATTTCATTTCCCGAATCGTAATGCCTGATTTGGTCAGGACCACCAACAAGTGTGTTAACCATTCTCCTTCGAATAAATATTCGTATTGAATCGAGTCCTTGACTCGTCCAAGTAATCCACGTTCAACATGTCGTCTTGATCGCCTTCCCACTGAAACAATCCACATGCTCTTCGAATATTTCATCTTCACTGTTTTAACGCTGGACGGATACGAGGGATCCAGCTTTCGTTTCAACGATTCGTTGCAGTCCCTTGTGCTATCACACGTATCATCTCGCTGGCGTTCCATCGCAAAAAGCAACACTTCACTTTGGAAGGTGATCCATCCAATCAATATCGACCTTGCGAAGTTTTGCTTCGAACTTGTCCCAACGGGCATTTCAGTGGTTCTCCCCCTCGGGAATAATACCGTCTGTCGTTGTTGTTCGAAAGCCAATACCGCCCGACCCGAAATAATTGAGGCATCCTGCCGCTTCATCCACGAAAATGCTCATCGGATTTCCACCATGTTTATGATTGGCAGTCATCCCTTCCTCAACATATTCCTGACGACGCCCTTTCCAATATTGAAGACACACGTATTCCTGTTAGCAGAAGATCCTGGAGCCATCACCGTCGCACCTGTTCTAGAGAAAGTCCGTACATCGGGATTGTTTGGTGGTCTAGCTCCGAATTTACGATCCGTAACATGGATCTGCACACGCATCCCATCGTTGTCTGGAAATGCTTGGAGGAACCTCCGCTCCTTGTTATTTAGTACCACGCTTGGAATACAACATCCGGCGGAGCCCAGCTGGCGGCAGTTGATGTTAATCTTGTCGATCAATTCAAATTTGGAAGATCTCGCCGTGGTAATACCCCCATTTGAGGAACATTTAGGTCCAAACTGCCTCAGTCTCTCGTCTCTTCGCAAAGCTATATTTGTCGTTCCCGAAACAAAACGCTTCGACCCTTTCTTCCAAGCCATATCAATTCCTAACATGAAAGATATCGTGATTGTCAGTTTTGACTCTAGTACCTCAACAACTAGAATGTTTTCCGCCTTGGGAGCTCAAACTAAGTTGATTTCTACCTTCTCTGGGGCCACTGTTTGCGGGATCGGGTATGCGATGCCAGAAGACACAGGGAGAATCATGATATATTATCGCAATCATCGACCCATATGTATTATGCGTTGACCCCTAGTATCTAGTCATGAGGAGGCATCCGACATCGTTAAAATGCTACCTGCCGTTAAGGCACTTTTAGTGTTGCGCTACCCACCTAGATTTACATACCTGCCACCCTGGCTTTCCGTGACGGTCCTTGATCTGCGTAAAGCTGAACATTATGAAGGTCTCCTGAAATGGGTAAATGAGAATACATTTCCGTCCTTCAAGACGACTTTGATTCCCAAGAAATTTTCCAACGGTTTGGAAACCCTTCTGGTGGTTTTGGAACGCTTGGTCAGCCATTTACGGAAGCCGGAGGTTGTCGTTTCGTTGGGTCATGGTTTAACGGCGTCCGAGCATGATACATTCGCATCCTTTTGTACGAAGAATGAGGTACCCTGGCGATACGCGGGATCTAAGGACGATGATGAATGATGCCCATCGAACAACCGCGAACGGATTAGAGTGAAGGTAAAATTACAATATTAAAATATTACACCTACTGAAATTGAATTGTGGCAGGAGAAATGCACAATACCACTAGCACGGAGAATTATTTTTATGTATCACTGGTTTTTTATCACAGACACGCGCGACGTCTAATTCATAGGGTGAAATAAAGCTGAAGTGCGATATTATAAACAGTCCTAATATTAAGCTTCC